ACTGTCGCATCACTACAGGTGAGGCTCGATATCTAGATTTCTAACCATAAAATGGGCTCACCTTCGCCAAAAAGAGATTCACCTAACTACATCTACTAATGTCCTATTAAGGCATTACTTTATAACAAGACCAACTTATCTTGATCATTTAAATGTAGCTCATGTTTACCTGAAATCATTAAATATAGCTCATAATTACCTAAATGACCCTTTCTTAAGCTCTATGTGGACTTATCATCAACTATCAACTGTCTTAGTCATATCACCATTCTTTATTTCATATATAAGGTAAAAAAAAGGCCCATGTATGATATGAACTGAGATTTCTTCTTTCTTGAATTTTCTAAGCACTAATAAGTTACCTTTACTTTCATCTTAACCTTAGACATTTGGCTAACTTGAATGAGGAAGTGTGTCTCGAAAAATCAATTTTGGTTACTACTAATCATGCTTTTTTGTTGCAATCCCAAATGTTCTCTATACAACCAACAAGTTATTTCCCTTTCGACCAACACCCAAAAATGCCATAAAAAATTTAAAGATTTTATATTCAAGTCTCACCAAATGGGTTTAATCTAATTTATGTTGGTTGGTTAATTTACTTTTTTGTTTAATTCATTAATTTTTTAAAAGATAAAAAGTATTTTCATAAAAAGAAACAAATCAATGAAACTCAATATCAATTTAAAAGTTGAAGAAAAGCTCAAATGCTCAAAGGTAGTAACTAAAAGCCTAATTTCATTCAAAAATATTATTAGAATCCTAGCCTAAAACCCTTGACAAAATTTTCCATCACTATTTTCTTTTCCTTTTAAAAAATAATCTCTTTTTAGATTAAATTTCTCTTTCCTTTTTTACCAACAAATCCAAATCTAGATCTCTTCAAAACAAAAAGCCTTTACTTTTTCCCTTTAATGGGCTCTCTCCAAGCCACTTACAAAGATAAAGACGATGAAAAAATTACCCCTTAACCACCTTACATCGTTCCACCATCACGACAACCGTCAATCATTAGCAATTCTTAAAACGATGATATAATTGGCCACAACATCCGAAGCATGAAAGAAATTGAACCCAAAAATGACATTACCACCAGCAAACTCAAAACCACCTAGCTTGCCATTGCTTCCTTCAATTCCATCTCATATTCTTTCTTTTCTTTTTTTTTATTTTTCAACTTTTTTGTAAAAAATAATGTTAATGGAAGTGCTTATGTAACACCTTAATTTGTTTGTTTTTTTTTTGTATTTTTTAAAAATTATATATTTTTGAATTTTTAATTAGATGAATTTATAACAAATGAATAGGTTGATAAGCGTGGAAAAACAATCAGTATTTGATAAGTTTTTATCCATCTCGATTCGATATGGGTATTTTTATAAAAAAATTGATATCAAATTAATTCGAGTCAATTTTTTTACAAAAATCGAGGACAGGTCAAAAATAGGTTTTTTGTTGAAAATTTGATATTAAGTGAGTCTTGCACACAAATATAAAATAAAAATAATTTTTTATAAAATATATTTTTGTAAGAATAAGTGACCTATTTATGTATTCAAATATCATTTTCATTATTTTTTCATACCTTTTTCTTTTTTTGTTTTTTAAATTAAATATCTTTTTAATAAAAAAAAAAACAATGAATATGGATGATAAAAAAAAAAAAATTAACTTGTGACAATGCATAGACACCCACATAGTAAGAATAAATCTTGAACTTTTTAGAAAACTTTCATCATTTTTTTCCCATCTTTTCAAAAGAAAAAATTTTGTAACACAAAAAAAAGCATTTTGATTTAAACCTAATATGCATGCTTAAATTCTAATAAGGGAAAGATGCATATGTTGTAGTGGGATGTCTATGAATATTCCTAAAAGTTGAGAATATAAAAAAAATAAAGGCCTATCTTTTTCTACACATTTTCAAAAATTTTATTTTGCCACCCTAAATTTTCACTTAGTTACCACTAAATCATAAAAAAATTTCTAGGTATGAGAAAGATGTATATTGAAAGGGATTTATTTGATAGTATTAAGAATGATATTCTCATGCCTCAAGACCAAGATGCAACACGGCCATATTACCTTGAAGTAACACTCAAAAGTAATACGAAGCCTTCTTTCTTAACCGTTCTAAAATTCTTCCATAAAATAATATACCACGTAAAATCTGTATTTTTAATCTAACTAATGATACATCTCTATATATCCAAATACAAACTATATAAAATACAAAACCATTAATAATATCTCATTGGTCAACATTGTCTCCGACAAATAAGTAATTTTTCTCATTTTGATATTTTAGTTTTTCACAAGACTAATCAAACTTATCATTTACTCATCTGTAAGGAGAAAGAAAAAAGAAAATGAGCAAACCACAGCTCAACAAGTATAGGCTTAAATACGTTACCTGATTAAGTATCATTTTTATTCATATCACATAGATCATTCAAAAATATTCATTAAATCATAATGTCAGAATATTTCAAAAATTATCATGTTATAAAACATTTTGTAAACCATAATACAACATCAAAACATGTCATTTCTTAAATCATTGCAACATATGTTGTCATTTGAATACTGTAATCAAACTAAACTATTAATCAATCTTTAAAAATCATCGTAAATCATCTTTATATACAAAATTATGGATCAATTTTTAAAAATCATCATCCTTATCATAAATCATCATTATCATTAGTTTATTATTAGTTACGATCACTGTTATAACCTATAACATTAGCTGTATCGATAGTTTCATCCTCATAATCATTACTAACTATTATAAATTACTAGTCAGGGCCTTATACTAATTACTATAACTCATTAGTAAGGCAGTATGATCATTTCTATGTTAACTACTATTATTTGTTAGTCAGAGCCATAAAATTAGTTCTGGTATCGATGATCTCACTTTTAGGAATGTAAAGACGTAGCTATTATAAAATCATTTCTTAAACATAAATCATTTTTTCATTTCATTCCTAAGCATGATCCATCATTTATATAGCAAAAACATAAAATAATCACATGTTTGATCATATTTTCATATATCAAAAATAAAGAAATAAAACATTTACTAATTTAGAAACATAGCAAAAACACAAAATAATCATATGCTTGATCTTATTTTTATATATCAAAAATAAAGAAATAAAATATTTACTAATTTAGAAATATACATATAAACATAGGTTCGAAAATAAGTAAAGTATGTGTTCTACTTACCTCCTTTCAATTTCATCACTTAGTTTTTCTCTCAAAATAATTAATGGCCTATTCAAGATCATTTCAACATATCAAAAATTAATCAACTCTTTTTGAGACCATATATGTTGGAACAACTAAGTTATACAAAAGTTAACTCAACTAACTAATACTGACAGCCTAACCTTTTTCTATTAAAATGACCATATATCAAAATATCCAAATCGAAATTAAGATCTCTTTAATGCGTTAGAAATTAAACTCGATAAGCTTTCTAACCATATATGACCCACCACACAATTTCTTGTAGATTAATTATAATAAATTTTGCAATTCACTTTATATGCTACTACTAGATAACACATATACCTTCTAATAAAAATTACATATTTATTATAGGAGACTTCAAATTCAATTTTGCTTATTTCATTAGAAATACTTAATAAGCTTTTCAAAATGTATGGCTCAATTCTTAATTTCTTGTATAAAATTTAAGATAATTTTTGTAATTTAACCTAATGATACTGTCGTACAGCCTGATATCCTTAAGTAAAAATTAGACAACTCTTCATAAAAAACTCGGATTCAATTTTCATTTATTTCATTAGAAAGTAGATTCAATGTGCTTTCCAATGATATATAAGTCATAGCAATATCTAATCCCTTGGTATAAAATATTATTTTAATTTATTGTTGTAAATAATAGCATCTTATTCAAAAACAAAAATTTTTCTTTAACCTTTAAAAATCTAAATCCCCATTTTCAGCTTTTAAAATTCACTCAATAATCATCATTATATCTTAATTACATGAAGTAAATAAAACCTAATAATTTACCTAAATCAATCATGAAGATTAATGAAATATTTCATACTTTTTCTTGATTTTTTCTTTTAAAACGTCAATTCCAAATAATAGCAATTAACGTAGGATATTTCTTAAATAAAAAATGGCATATAGTCACTTTTATGAAATTAACTTGATTATAGCTTTTAATTTCAAATCTCCAACTTGATTTTTCATGCTCTCTAATCTTAAGGAAGATGAGGAAGAAAAACTCTTATTTCTTTTCTGTTTCATAATAGCGAGGTTTTCTTTCATTTAATATATCAACTTTTTTTTTTTTTTTACTAATTAAGCTTTTAAAAAATTGATGGACTTTATTATTAATCTAGCCTAATTATTATTTAGACTAAGTATTACAAATATAATTATATATATTTCAAAATATAGAAGTTCCACTGTGAACAATTGTAATAACATAAAATATATTGTCCAAAATTATTTTATAAATTTTTTTTGTATATAATAAGTGAACATAAAAAATATCAAAATCTATAATTAATTTCAACTCATAATTATTCATATCTAAAGTCTAAACTCCATTCCATTATTACTTACCATCATTGTTATTATTGGAAATAAGCCCCTTTCCATTTTCATTTCTACTTTATGGCTTTCAAATAAAAAGAAAAAAAAATAGTGTGAATAAACAAACAATGAGATTTTATCTTAATAATAAAGAAAAGTTCAAAATCTAAAGATTTTATATTTAAGTCTCACTGTATATATTTAGTTTAATTTATGTTGGTTGGTTAATTTTTTTATTTAATTCATTAATTTTTCAAAAGATAAAAAGTATTTTTATAACGAAGAAACAAATAGATGAAACCCAAATACATCTAAAAGTTGAAGAAAAGCCCAAATGCCTAAAGGTGGAAACCAAAAGCCCAATTTCATTCATTCAAAAATCCTATTAGAGTCCCAGCCCAAAACCCACGACAAAATTTTCCATCACTGTTTTCTCTCCCTTCTCAAAAGTACTTCCCTTTCTATTTAAATTTCTCTCTTCCCCTTTTCCAAACAAATCCAAATCTAGAGCCCTTCAAAACAGAAAGCCTCGTACTTTTTTCCCTTCAATGGACTCTCTCCAAGCCACTTACAAAGACGAAGACGACGAAGAAACCGCCCCCCAACCATCACCTTCCACCGGTCCGCCACCACGGCAACCACCAATCACTGGCGATCCTCAATACGATGCTATACTTGGAGATGACGTCCGACCCACGAAAGAAATTGAACCCCAAAACGACATCACCACCAGCAAACTCAAAACCACCCATCTTGCAGCGGCTTCCTCTGATTCCATCTCCGAAGAAGATCCCACCACCACCACAACAACAACAGCTTCTGATGACGCCCAAAACCCAGCTATAGTTCCCCGAAACGACGACGAATTCGACGACGATGAAGAAGAACCTCCACCCAAAAAGCAAAAACAACTTTCCTCCTTAACAACTCCTCCCCAATTCTCTAATTCAGTTCCCACAATCAACGATGATAACGCCACCGCAGCCGCAGTGGAAAACAACAACAATAACGGCAATGCTCGATCAAATCCTTCCCCTGCAACGAAAACAACGACTGCAAAGAAGTCTAAGAAGAAAAACAATAATGTTTGGGTGACGAAAACGTCACGAAAAGGGAAAAAGAAGAGCAAAGTGAATAACCAGAATGCTGGGAATGCGGAAGACACAGTTTTGATCGCCCCTGTTCCAAGATTCCCTGACAAAGGGGACGATACCCCGGATATGAAAATATGTCTTTCCAAGGTTTATAAGGCAGAAAAAGTGGAGTTAAGTGAGGATAGGATGAGTGCAGGGAGCACAAAGGGGTATAGAATGGTTAGAGCCACAAGAGGGGTGGTGGAAGGAGCTTGGTACTTTGAAATTAAGGTGGTGAAGTTGGGGGAGACGGGGCATACACGGCTCGGGTGGTCTACTGAGAAAGGGGACTTGCAGGCTCCAGTAGGCTATGATGGCAATAGCTTTGGGTACAGAGATATTGATGGGAGTAAGGTGCATAAAGCTTTGAGAGAGAAGTATGGAGAAGAAGGGTATAAGGAAGGGGATGTTATTGGGTTTTATATAAATTTACCAGAAGGTGGGTCCTTTGCTCCCAAGCCGCCCCATTTGGTTTGGTATAAAGGACAGAGGTATGTGTGCGCCCCTGATGCGAAGGAGGAGCCGCCTAAAGTAGTGCTTGGTAAGTTTTTGCTAGTGTTCTGATTAAAGCTTGCTCTTTCCGCATTGTATTTGAATGGATTGGATATGTGTGCTGGTTTTATGTTTATTCCTCTTATTCTTTTTACCATGTCTTTTACCATTTTTATGTATGCTATGTTTTGATAATATCTTAGAAGGGAAAGCCGCATTGTACTTACAGAAAAGAAAGTGGTCACTTCCTTGTTATTAATTTAGTAGGTGACATTAGAAAAATGGAAAAAAAAGGTCCAACACATTGCATTTTTAGGGATGGTGCTTTTGATGATTAAGAGTCCAGATTGCATTTTTAGGGATGGTGCTTCTGATGCTTAAGAGTCCAGAAAAAATTGATCCCAGTCCCATTATGCATTCATGCATCTATTAAACTTAGTTATTGATTCTATCATTTGTTATTTTGCATGATTGTCTTCATGTTTTTGAATCCACTTTCCTTTCCAATTTTCTTTCAAGCTGGCACTTTTTTGGTTGCCTTGAAATTCGATAGTTTCCAGAATAATCATCTACTTAATGACAAGTTGAGCATATGAAAGATTTAAGATACATTTATTAATCAATTTTAGAAGTCAGTATATGTACTTTCAAATATTATTACCTGTTTGTGGCATAGGACTGTTATTGAAATGCTTTTTTTTCAAGGCTTTATTGATAATGGTGGCCAAATTAATGGTTTAAAGTTGCAAAATATTTACCGTCTAGAGTCTCTGTTAGTAGAGATGACAGTTCTTGGTTTAGTTTGAGTAAATGAGTGAGCATTGAACAGACACCTTGAATCTTAACTTTATTTTTCCGGTAGGAATTGGATTTTGACATGGCTATAGATTTGGTTAGGCTTTAAAAGTGGCATTTGTGCGGCTCCTGAAGTTGATTTCATTAATGTAAAATTTGTAGTTCATAGCTTACTAGAAACACCTGAAGATAGTTCACTGAGTAATTGAAACATTTGGGAAGCATTTTGATTTGGAAAATAGAGAAAATGATGTATATAGTTTGATAGAATGACATTTTTCATACTTGTCCCATAAAGATTGAAGTGCTTTTTGCTAAATTTTAAATTTAATGCTGAGAAATTAAGTGCACAATTTTTGTATTGTATATTTTGAGTATTGTAAAAAGCAATTGATATGTTGCTAAAAACGTAATGCCTGAATGAATGGGTTTGCATTTTGCAAAAGACGTATATACTATTTCTAGAGAATTTACATATAGTAAGTGTTGGAAGTTTGACAAATAAAAGGGAGTTGGAAGATTGGACAGAAGAAATTTTATCAGCAATGTAGCAAATAAAAATTTTAAAATAAACTTTATTGAATAAATTAAGCAGTTTTTGGCTACTCAATATTAGTAATAGTTTTTCTGTTGAAATCATTGTATTAAATGATTCTGAAAATGAGTAATAAAACACCTTCGAAAAATTAAACCATTTTAAAATTGAAATTTCCGATAAATTAAACTTTTAAATAATACTTAATGAAACAACACTGTAGACTCCAAAAATAGATTCCATAAGCTAATAACATCAGTTACAGTTAGCCAATTTTGAATTAATCAGAATTTAACCAAATTCCTTACACAAGATTTGGTAGGAAGGAAAATGGAGGGAAGGGGAAAGGTGAGAAATGGGAAGGGAAGGAAAGGTAGTTTGTTTTTCCCTCCTCATGTTTGGTATAGGTGATGAAAATTGGAAGGAAAGAAAATATATGAGGGTTGCAAATAAAATGATTAATTTTAGCTAAATGAGTGTTATCCTTCCATAGGTGGAAAATGATTGGATTTTGAAGGAATGGAAATGTGTAAATCTTTCTATTTTCTTTTCCTTTTCTCATTTCCTTCCTACTCGATGATGGAAGATAATCTTTTGGTCAACCTTCCTTCCCATTTCCTCTTTCCCTCCCACTAAACAAAGTGTCACTCCTAAAATTTGAAGAAAACATAAGTAGATAAAAGATATGCCATACATTGTGTATTTGTTTTTTCTAATGTCTTATTTAATTTATCAATATTCTTTGGTTGTTCTTATGGCAAGTTTCATTTCTTGAAGGGTGTAAGGATCATTTGCTGATTAGTTACTTTAAATTTTTGAAATTCAATTAATGTTAACAAATTATGCTCAAATTCATCCAATTATGCTACTCTTGCCCTCCATGTGATTGCTAATGTTTCAAAATTAAAATTTTCTTGCAAAAGTAATGACAGCACACACTCAATCTGTTAAAAAGTATCAACATAGACAAAAGTGATTGACAAAGATATTGACGGAACTAGATATTATTGAGTGGCATTAATGTGGAAAAGAATCAAATCACAAAATTTTAGGTTGGTAGTTTCTTAAACTGAATTCTTAATTAAATAATTCTAAAAATATCTCTCTTTTCGTGAGTTTTCTTTTCTTACTTGAAATTAAAAATTGAAAATAATCTTTATTTGATATATAAATGAATAATAATCATTTTCAATCTTTTTAGTGATAAGTAAATACGTACTACTATTTTATTAAGATAACTTGTCCCCTTGGTTACATGCAACCAATGTTATCCTTTCATCATCTCCTTTTCCCTTTCTCATGGCATCAAATCCAGAAAACTTGTTTTCATTTTTCCCCCCAGCCCCTTTAATCATGCTTCTTCATGTGAACCATGCAATCCAATGTGATTTATTTGAGTTGTTGTAGCTTGTGGTTTTTATGTTGTAAAAGCTGCCATCTTTTCCTGCTATATAGATTTGCAGCAATGGTTTCTGCCTTTTGGGAAACCTATGACCTAACTGTTAGAGGCAGTGAGGAAGCAAGTGAGAAAAGCCAAATAAGTTGTTGTTGCTGGGTACCAAGAGAAAAAAAATGAGCAGTGGTTAAGAAAGGTTTTTGTATGAGTTGGTTTGTAATTTGGTCAAAACAATGAGGCCATTGAGGACATTTCAAGATAAGTTTTTTTTCAGCCTTTCCTTTCTCTGTCTCCCTGATTTGGGGGAATTGAAAAGTTGGGGGGAGGGAGGTTAACATGAACATGGAGGGATACTGGCATTCCCTCCCTTTCCCTCCTAATTTTAGTCTGACTTCAATAAGGGGAAGGTTTTGCACTTTCCCCTCCTTTCCTTTCTTTTCCCTCCCATCTTCCTCAATCCAAATACACTGTAAGGTCTGACCCAAACAAGGGGAAGGTTTCCCACTTTCCCCTCATTTCCTTTCTTTTCCCTTCCATCTTCTCCAATCCAGATACACTGTAAGGTTCTCTAATTATTGAATTAAGGAAAAGGCTTCTCAACAGTAGAGGCTGTTTACTATAAGCTTTGATCCTATTCTCCCCAAACAATATTCATCGGTCACTCCAGTGAACAAACTGTAATTTAGGTCTTTGATTATTATGAAAAGATATAGCAAGAAATGAGTCCTTTAAGCAGGATTCTGAGAAGTGACGTATGGAAAGTTTGTGCAGTGCAATTTTTATGGGTTGTATTTATATGATCCCATTGGACGTTGCAGTATTCTACCCTTACATAAATCATGTGGAAGATTTGAACAAAATGTCTGATTATAACACAATTGAATTCTGTTCCGTGATTTTGGTTAAAGATTTTGGATTCTGGCTTTTATATGATCATTGCATGGGATGCTAGGCTCTTCCCTTTTGGCTCTTTTTCTACGGTATAAAGCATGCCATAATGGGTAAACTTAGAACAATTAGTATAAAGTCTAACTTGAAGCTATCTGAACCTCTCTTATTGGTTGTGCTTCGTTTTTCCTGCTAAACCTGGTCCTGATAATATTTCCAAGTGAACTTTTTATAAAAGCATTTTATAAAAAATTAGATTGTTTGTTCAAACCTGGCATTTTAGTAAAAGTCTGGCATGTTGCGACTATATCATGCAGCTTTTAACTTGCATAACCTGTGTGGGTAGGCTAGAGGAAAGACTTTAGTCTGGCACTGAATTCTAGCTGCTATGCTTGAAATGAAATAGATTCATTTTTTAACTAACTTGCCACTGCAATGACTTTATTCTGTGTTTGATGAGGACTTGTCGAGACTATTTACAGTTAGCTATAATGCTGCTTTTCACACGGTATGCTTGAAGTTTCATTATTCACTGACAAAAAATGTTGACTTTTCATGCAGGAAGTGAAATTTCTTTTTTCAAAAATGGGGTATGCCAAGGAGTTGCTTTCAAGGATTTGTATGGTGGTCGTTACTATCCTGCTGCTTCAATGTATACTCTTCCGCATCAGCCAAACTGTGAGGTGAAGTTCAACTTTGGCCCAGACTTTGAATGCTTCCCAGAGGAGTTTGATGGACGTCCTCTTCCCAGGCCCCTGGTTGAAGTTCCTTATCATGGGTTTGAAAACCGAGTCGAAAATGGTGTATCCAATGAGAAGAAACAGTTGTGAGCTTGCAGCACAGACTAACACCATTGTGAAGTGCCTGCTAATTTTGAGAGACCATGTCATTAGATTGTAATTTAATTATTTACTCTTGAAATTAGGACTGATAAGTTGATTGATTAGTTCTGTAAACTCTGATTTTACTTTAAAGGAGAGAAAGAAAGATTAATTTCCTGCTTGCAACACCTAAATCTGCTGCATAAGCTGATCCATATCTTGATATCATTTTATTTATTTTTGTCTTGCTTGTATATCTTGATATGATTTTTCAATAAAGTGCAAGAATATTTTTGACTTCCGGCTAATGACCCTTTTTCTTATGTTGAATGCATTTAATGTGATTTAGCTCCTTTTTCTGAAAGATTTTGCGTGGATGTCTTTGTGAAATTCTTGATTTTGCATTTTCTACTTTATCTACACAGGATTCCAGCAAAATCTTCCTAAGTTATGGCTTGTATGTGCCACTGGAAATTTTCCTTTGGTTGCAGTCTTCTAGTTTCTCAATTTCATCTTGATTTTGTTAATGCACCTTTTCTATTGATAGAGTGGAAGTTTTGGGTTCTGCTTCTTTAAACTGAGTAAAGCCGTTTGTTTGCAGCAGGAGGCAATTATGCAGATCTTGAAAAATTAAATTGGTAGTAATTATTTAGCTTGTGAAGTGTACTAATCTTCCTCAAACATTGAACTATGATCTTTTTGCTTTTGCTTGTTACTGTTTTGCAGTTCCTGGTAGGATGGAAGGACTTCCTGGTGATTGCAATTATTGGAACTGTCACCTGACAGGTAAATTTTGATTCCCAATTAAATATGTGCTTTGCTGAGAGTGCCAAGATGTTCCAGAGGCAGCAGAACATATATAAATTCTGAATCAAGGAAAATGATCAGGTTGGCCTTATTGCCTTTTGGGTGAAATTCTCTAATAAGCTACTTGTTCTTAGTTTCTGAATTCCAATTCTATTGGTTATATGACTTTAAAGAGGAGGTGATTTGATAGCTAAACTGTATTTGAAATCTTTTATGGTGAAATGCTATGTTATTAACAATTGAGTAATCATTTGCTTATGTTGCTTGCTTTTGTTTTTACTTTTAAATATAGAAAGCAGTTTTGGCTGTGAAGCTAATTGCTTATTATTCTAAATCTGAAATTGCATATAGTTGATCTCGTAGGCCCAAGTCACCTTGCTTCTGCAAAATTGCTTGGCTTATTGGAATGAATAGAACAAGGCGGAATCAAGAAATTCTAGGACTTGCTGTTTGAATCAGCCAATAATCTTCCATCCGTTTTACTCTTTCGTTATGCCTTTTGTTTCATTGTTAGTTTAAAGGGTCATTTAATTCTACAACTGGTAGAGTAGGAAATCAAATGCTACCATGCTTTGTAGGATAAGAGAGGTATGACAATAAATAACAATATCGGATTCTATGTGTTTAGTAATTGAAATGGGTATAATTTAAATCTCTTAATAAGGATTCATTGGATAGCAAGTTTGGTGCGAGCAATCATGATAATTTTAGTTTCAATAGCTAATATTTAAGTTATTGCAATTAAAAAACTCGTAATTGGACTTAAGGTTGCATAACCACCCCATGATGAGCAGTGCATTGATTTGCTCGCCCCTAATGCAGGCGATACGCTCTTTGCCTTTAACTGGTCGGATTGTTCCTCCGGTGTTATTACTTTGAAAAAATTAAAAGCGTTATTACTTTGAAAAAATTAAAGTGCTTAAAGCAAATTTATGTTTGTATACATTAACATGTGATAACATCATAAGATTTCAGTTCTATTGTATCGTCATTCAGGATTAAAGTAATAATTAATAAGGATAGTCGAGGCATTCGTACTTTAAAATCAGATGTGAAATTTTGGATTTTGGATTTATGAAAGATGAACATTGCTTCATATTTTTTAATTTACTTAATACATTCAATTTAAAGTTACATATCTAGTTTCTTTGTTGTCTTACTCTTATTTTTTGCTTTGTGTAAGAGATATTTTCTTAACATGTTCAACAAGTATTTTCTTTTTGGTACATATAAATAACATGACCCGAGATTAGAATGTCATTTGATAATCACTTGAGTATCTATAACAAAATTCTCATGTTATAGTTGCATAAGTGGTGCTTTGACTTGAGGTCACTATTTAGCTTGTATAACAAATGTTATATTTTGATATAACTCCTACATGATTCTAAGCAAAGATGCTCAATAGGCTGGATATTGGGTATAACATGAATCATATGAAGATGGAGGAGTGATTGAGATAGAATTCATCAACCTGAGTGATCAAAATATCTCATTATTCTTGAGAATGATTAATTCATGAAATCTTTGAACAAAGTAGAATGAAGTTTGGAATATATTCAAAGATCATTTGAAAAGCTAATAGTTTTGACATTCAAAAATTTTGTGGTTGGATGTGTATAAAGTAGACACTAATCCAAGTTCTAGTTTCATCGAGATATAATTATGAAAGAAATGAATTATACTAAGAAACTATGAACAGATAAGTTAGTCAAATTTGTTTGACTTTTTCTAATATGTGGTGATCACGATGCATTATTATATGTTAATTTTAATCTATAAATATGTATTGTTTAATTAAAAAATTAATGATGAATCAAAGAAGTTTAATTCATCTGATCCTAATTAAAAAAAGATTAAAATATTCATATTTATTTCTAACATAAGAAGAATCTAACGAGTCACACTCAATTAGAAATATTAAGTGAAAAATTAAAATGAACAATTCAAGTTAAGTTAGACTTGATTGAAATAAAGTTTGAAACTTTAGGTACTTAATTAACAGGATTAAAAATTTAAAGGATCAATTTATAAATTAACGAAATATAACTCTCTTAGAAATAAAATGGTTAATATTATTAATGAGTCTAAACTCTAGTGAAATATTTAATATGATTTTTAAATTTAAAAAATTTTTAATATGATACTTGAACTATGAATTTATTCATTAATATGATACTTAGAGGATTGTTTGTCCATCACATTTCAAAATTTTAAGCTAGCCATGTTAGATGTGAGCATTACATTAGTTAACATATTTATAGTTCATATATTATATTAGAAAATTTTAAAGTTTAAGTATTATATTAAATATTTTATTATAATTTAAGAATTATTCATGATATTAACTCAAAATAAAATTGCCGAAATTACTTCATTTATTTAAAGAATATAAAAAGTCATCCTTTTATGTAGATGAAATTGAATGATAAATCATAATAAAACATAAGAGGCAATTCTTAGCGAGCATTAATTATTATCTTCTTTTGAGGTTTTCTAATTATTTTTTCATGTAATATCATTAAGAAGCTAGATAATTGGATAGTTGAAGGTAGGTTACAACTTAACTAGAAGTTTTTTGAAGAATTTATCCTATTGGAATCTACAAAGAGCGTTAGGTAAAATTCAAATTTTCTTCATGTGCTAGAAACTTGTGTAAAGCAATATTATTGCATGATTCAATTGATTGGAAGTTAAAATTTGAAATTTCCACTACCTACACTTTGATAGACATCGATCTTGCATGATTAATTGCTAACAATATTAACGTATGTTTGGGCATCTCTACTTTATGGTGGTGTAGAATAGTCTTTGAGTTAGAAGATTATAGCACAAAATATATAACTTCAATAAAAAAAAAAGTCAATGTTTATGATGTAAAATATAATATTTTATTATTAATTTCTTAGGTTGCCATATCATTTTAATATTTATTTCATAAGATTCATAATTATTTTTGCTTTAAATTTTGTTTCACCTAGTGAAATGGAAGAGGTGTGTGTTTGATTCCATCTTTCCAGTCTCGGATGATTCTTATCACCTGTTGTAAAATTCGTGTACTACATATTTTTTCCCCTCTGGACAAGAGGTAAGATACTAAAGACTTGAAACAGAGTTAGATGTTAATTCAACCGTAATTTATGAAATTTCAAAGGTGACATATAAGTGTTTACTGCATTCAATGTGCCTTACCAGTGATTGTTTTTCTGGATTGTATAGCGGTAAATGGTGTTTGGATGGTTTGGCTGATTTGTAGGAACAAATGAAGAAATCAAGGTGAAAATGAAAAAGAAAATAACAAAGGTCAGATTGATCAAATGTAGTGCTCAAGAAGAAAAAAAATGGATGTAGCCTATAAAATGTTCATCCAAATTCCTAAGTATTGCACTCGTACGCTAGCATCTTATAAACTGTGTATCAACTGTTGGCTAGATACTGATGTCCTGCAAATTTTGTGGGAATGGCAATCTACACTTGTAGAACACAATTAGAAAGGAACAAATGATAGAAAATAATAGAATTGTAGGTAAAGAACAACCCAAAAATCGATAAAGAATCCTATTTATCCATCCTGGGAACTTCTAAACTACATTCTAATTAGCACTTTTGTAATCCATGCATTAACACTGCAACAACAGAATGATATTACATATAACGGTATCATTAGATGTTATAATAAAGTGCAATGTTGGACCATCTGCTACAAATATAAAGGAGTGCCTTTGAAGAAGCACTTGAAAAATAAAGCTGATATAGCTAATTTCTCAAGTAATGTTATTATCATCCCTTTCCCTTGTTTCTGTAATCAAATCAGAGCAAGAGCATTACTAGAATTCTTTTTGTTTGTTGATTCTAGTGAATTGGAGAGTTAAGACCCTCTTGAGAAGACAGTGAATGAAGAACTTGGTGCCTCTTGGATGGGAAGGCCAATGTTTTCCTGAAAGAAGGTCTTTTTTCGAGATGATGTATAGTTCGCTTCGCATAAAGACTTTGAAATAAAGGTGAGACTCTCTCCTTGAACTTGAGAATGACAAAGAAAAGAAATCTGTAAGCTATCAAAATCACTATAACAGCTGCTAAATCCCACCACTTTGAATGTTCCAGCCGAATGCCAAGCATGGTTGTGAGGACAACATCACCTTTCAGTTTTGGACCACCAGGTATGAAGCCATCAAATTCAAGCCCCACCATATCGTTCTTGTATGCTCCCTGCATTCTCATTTTACAGAAAGTCAATTGAAATTGTTTGATTGAGACATTGTTATATTCGGGCTCTAAGCTGCTATGCTGCATTTCCCATGCATAATTTTAACTCTTGTAGCCCGTTGCCTTGGATTACAAGGTAAACCTTTTCGGATGGAAGACTAATTTTGGGATTTAGGAGTGCAGCACCCAAACTAATTTTCGGGAACCTTTTCTTCTTTAAAGTGGTTACACAAGCTCCTAGAAAAAATGAGGTTTTTTTTTTTTTTCTTTTATTTATATCTTTTAGCAGGATTTGAGGTACTGTATCAGCAGATAATCCGATTATGTTTCCTTTGAGTCCACAAAAGTATCAACTTAGCTGACATTTCATGCCCTAGACATAATGCAAATGAAACATGGACTAGTATAATCTTGGCTTGTGCTGTTGAGCTTGCTTTTTCTCATGTTTTTATTATAAACTACTGCAATAATATTTGTCAGTTAACCTGTGTTCAGTAAAGTTTTATTTCTTGGTCTAAAAATAAGAATGTTCTCCCCCGTGTGAATCTGTTTTTCCCTTATCTTTTTTCTTTTTTTTTCTGGTTTAAAATTGAATTAAATATCTATTGAATTACCTGTAATGCCCATGCACCATAGTTGATATATGAAACAGGGTAACGCCAGAATATCTTAGGGAGATCAGGCAGCAATCGGAAATACCCGGCTGTCATCATCATTACACCCTGTGTGAAAAAAGATTTCTGATGATTATAAACACATGAAATGCATTAAGACATTAATGGACGAGCTATTATAAAATTTCTTAAATTACAGTTCTTACTATATAACCAGCTCCAATTATGACTCCCATCATGAAGTTGGGAACTACTGATGCTATCATCATCATGCAGCTCTCTACAGTTGCAATGGAGCTTATAAGATCAAGAGAGACATATGTAAAATGTGAAATTCCTGGACGGAATTTCACCATGTAATAGGTAATTGATGCTGTAGCAAGGGTCATCACAGTCAAGAATGGAAATGAAGAGAGGAAATTTGAGAGTATATAAACAGCAATCCCGTAATGTCCATTGCGCCTTTCTCGATAGAAAACCTATTTTAGAACACCAAAAACAGAAAAAAAAAAAAAAAAAAAAGGTTATCAAAGGCTTAGTAACGTTATTCTCATGCTTGCGTAGAAAGCCTCTGCTTACTTGGATTACTTACCTTAAGTTCTTCAATGAAGGATGGGAAGCCTCCTATAGACATGAATGTCATGAAACCTGCTATGAAACCGGCACAGGCCCCACGAGCTAAGATTGCATTGTAGTTTGTTCCAATATTGAAAAAAATAGTGCCAACACAAATAGATAAGGCTACATAGATTGCTATCCTTAACCAGTAATACCCCAAATCCCTAGACATGTTTACAAAGGACCTCTGTGTCAATGTTGATAGTTGCTTCAACCATTTTGCTTCACTACCATGTTTTTTTTCAATCATGAGTCCCTCCTGAAATACAAATAAGTAAAATCTAAGGAACTCTTCATGTCATATTCTATCTATTTGACATATTTAAGCCAGTTATGAGTAAACAATAGGCTTTGAGAAGGAAACTCATGTTAATCAGTCTATTTAACTTTGGCTGTCTAACAAATCCGAAGGGCATAGGTAGATGATAAAAACCAGTACATCTTAGTAGATGTTTTATGACTAAGTTTGAAATGCTTACAATGGTTGAGATTTCTTGAATTCTTGCTCTTGCCTTTGCCGCATAATCTGAGCTTCTGTATTTCTTAACAAGCAATTCTTTTATCTGTGCTGCTGGTAAGTTTGTCGAAGGATCTAATGCAGTTTGAAATTCCTGCAGTCCATAAATGAGAAATATTCTTAACCATGACAATATTGAGATTAATCAATTGCAGAATCAAAAACGAAATTTCTAATTGGACTTTGCTGGATAATGTAAGCTCCTACAGTTTCACTTTGAAATAATTGGAACTATGTTTTATTTTGAAAATCTATGTGGCTCAAAATGAAGAATATTAATTGGAAAAAAATTCAAGCTTCTAAGACCAACAGAAGTTAATTATAGGGTTTTTGCATGGCCTGGGACCTTGGTTTAATGTTCCTGTTCCTTATTTAATATGAAACTGTCTTACAAAATTGAGATACCATACTGCATTGTTTTGTAGCATGTTAAATCAAGTGAAAATTTTTTTCATAAAATTCAAGGAAACCAAGTGACTGCTAAATTGGAAAATTACTATGTTGCTCTCTTTGAAAAATGAAAAAAGAAAAAAAGAGAAAATGCTACAACATTCATACAGATATTCTATGAGATCCCTTCAGAGCCTCTGCAACAATGTCAAAATCTGAATTTATGCAGCGAAGGAAGTGATCTGAAGGATTTCTCCGACTTGGACATGGAAATCCTGCTTCAGCAAAGAACTGCAAAAATAAACTTTGTAAGTAGAAATGAACAAATTTATTTTCCATGATATACTTTTAATGTGATGCAACACTATTATCTAGGAACAAGTTTGATGAGATTGTCAAGATATTTAAGTTTCTATCATGCATATAGGAAAATATGTATTATTTCATACCTTTGCAGCCATTTCTGCCTCTCCGAAATAAACTTGTTCTCCACTAGAGAGTAAAAACAGGTCATCAAAAAGTAAGAATACTTCACTACTTGGCTGATGGATTGAAGAGATGACAGTTCTGCCATCACGGCCAACATTCCTAAGAGTTTGTATCACAAAAAAGGCTGAGGCACTGTCTAGGCCACTTGTAGGTTCATCAAGGAACAAGAGATGAGGTCTTGTGAGGATTTCGAGTGCAATACTTAGTCTTTTTTTCTCCCCACCACTTACACCCCGTAGGTGCCAGTTTCCAATAAGCCGATCAGCACACTCTTGGAGGCCCATCTCAGTGATTGTTTCCTCCACAATGCCATCAATGTCTTTACTGGTCATTGATGATGGAAGCCTCAAATGAGCAGAGTAAGTTATGGTTTCTCTTACAGTTAGAGTTCCCAAAAGTATGTCCTCTTGAGTCACATAAGCCTGAATTTTCAGAACAGACAACTCTTTAGTGAAGAGCCATGCCATATGAATAGTTGGATTCATTGCTATATTGTTCTTCCCGCACGGAATCCCAAATTTTTTGGGGCAATTCAATTTCTCACATATATATATATATATATAATTTTATTATTACGATTTTCATGTCAATTTAAAATGATATGTTGGGTACTTACAACACCTCCGTAGTCTAGCCTCTTCTTTCCATTAAGAAGAACATTTCCAGTCATGACAACATTTCCAGAGAGTCTACCTGCATAAATTTCAAAGATTATTTTAAGAACATTTCCAATCATGACAACATTTCTAGAGAGTCTACCTGCCTAAATTTCAAAGATTATCTTGATGTCCAACGTTATCTAAATCTATTGCTGTTTACGTGAGAAATCCTCTACTATATGGATGCAGAAAGGGAAAAGGCAGAGTGAATTGACTAGATGGGTGGATAAATCATTATTCATTTACCATATTCTTGAATTTAGAATTCTCATAAAGATGGAAAAATAACAATGAGGGTTGTTGACAGCAACCAATATCTATTCCTGATTTGTTGACAGAAATCAGGATCTATTTCTTTATTTGTTGGGATCTATTTTGCTGGTCATTACTTAATTTTATTTGTTTTTATGTTTAAATAATTGTTTCCTGTTTTTATGGATTATTCTATAAATATTGGTGTCTCTATATATTTAAGAATTCTCTCTCAATAAAAGTAAGAGAACATTATTTTTTTTTATTTCTGCTTCCATGGTGTCAGAGCAAGGTTTGCTCTTGTTCCTTTTTCTTTTCTAATTGCTAAAACAGTCATAATTGGTATCTCTCTCTCAAGTGGATCAGAGGTGACTTCTAAACTAATTATCTCTCGAGAGTGGATTAGAGGTGACCTCTGAACCAATTACTGCTCTTATTCCAAAGTGCACAATTGCACAAATAGGTAAATTATCTCTTTGCTTTGGGTGCAAAATCAGATTTTAGGCAATTTTGGAGTGTCCGACCATATAAGTGGATGCCATGAAATGTTTTCAACATATAATTCATGTCCTGGAAACCTAAAGATTCATATTGCTAAAAGATCACTATCCTCTATTGCTTAAAAAGGAAACATTAACGTCTCTAATATGACACTATTTTTAGTCTTGCATATTCGTAATTTAGCATGTAATTTAGTGTCTATTGGTAAATTGACAAAAGACTTGAATTGTGTGGCTAAATTCCATCTTTCGTATTATGAGTTTTAGGATTTGCTTTTAAAGAGAATCATTAGCAATGTTAAGAAGCATAAAGGCTTGTACTATCTTGAGGAACCTTAATAAGTGAATAAACAAATTTTGGCCTTAAGTGGTGAATCTATTTCTGTTTCTAGTGAAATTATGTTATAGCACAATAGATTAGAACATCTTAGTTTTTCATATCTAAAAACTCTTTTTCCTTCTCTTTTAAAAATAAAGATATCCATTCCTTTCATTGTGAAACCTGTGACTTTAACAATCACACTCATGTTCTTTATCCTAATCATCCATATAGATTTTCTAAACCTTTTTATTTAGCTCATAGTGACATTTGCAGACCTTCGTGAGAAAATAACACAACTAGAACTAGGTGGTTCACAACTTTTATAGATGATCACACATGAGCTTGTTAGGTTTATTTATTCAAGGGTCTGATGTTAAGACAATTTTTTAGCAATTTTACAAAATGATTCAAAAACAATTTCAAGCTCAAATCCAAATTTTTTACACAAACAATGGGAGGAAACACTTCAAATTATTTCTTAGTGATTATCTAAAAGAAAATGGGATTTTTCACCAAAATTCTTGTATTAACACCTCTCAACAAAATGGGGTTGCAAAACGTAAGTCATCTATTAGAAGTTGCTCATGCTATCATGTTTCCCATAATGTTCATAAGTTTTTTTGGGGAAACAATCTTATACTTGATCAATAGTCTTCCTAGTAGTGTTCTCGATTTCAAAGCACCATTGAACATGTTACTGGATTGCTATCCATAAACTAGGTTGTTTACTTTTTTACCACAAAAAGTCTTTGGTTACACGTCTTTTGTTCACAACAAAAATCTATCCTGTGGGAAACTAGAACCTAGAGCTATAAAATGTATATTTATTAGGTACTCTTTTACTCAAAAGAGGTATAAATGTTATTTTCTATCCACAAAACAAACATTTGTCTCATTAGATGTCACATTTTTTTAAAATCAACCATTTTACCCAAAACCAACTCTTCAAGGAAAGATACTAGGTGAAGATACGCTTTAAGATTTTTTTATTCCACTGCTTATAACATTAGCTATTCCTATTGTGTCACCAATAGAAGTTAAGCTAGAAACAGGGATAGATTTATCTATCTTTAGTCCTCAACAAAAAACAAAACTTCGTGTTTATTCACGACGTAAACCATAACCTCAAGAAGACAAACTTTTATGCCCTAGTAGCATTGTCAAGAATCTAATTTGCAAGCAAATTCTGAATCAAAAAATGCTGAACCTACACATCATCGCCAGCGAATATTGATCTGCTAGTAAATTCTGAATCAAAAAGTGTTGTGTTTATCGTATCATTACTAGTGAGTACTCTATCTGACGATCTAGACATATCTATAGCACTCAGGATAGGTGTAAGATCTTGTACTCAACACCTGTTGTCCAATTATCTATCCTACAGTGGTTTGTCTACAGCATTTCATGCCTTGATAGAAAAGATTGAGGTAACTCAAATCCCGCAAAATATTTATAAAGCTCTAAAAATCCTAAAATTGGAAGATGCTATACTTGAAGATATAAGAGCACTAAATATGAACGAGATTTAGGATGTTGTGAAGTTACATAGAGATCAAACACTAGTTGGATGCAAGTGGGTGTTTATTATTAAGTATAATTTAGATGGTAGAATAAAGAGACACAAGGCCTGCCTAGTTGCGAAAAGATTTACTCAAACTTTTGGAGTATACTACACTAAAACTTTTGCTCCAATTGCTAAATTGAATACTATAAGGGTATTACTTTCACTAGCTACTAATCTTGATTGGCTATTACTCTAGATGGATGTTAAGAATGCCTTTCTTAATGGGAAGTTAGATGAAGAAGTTTATATGGACTTACCTTTTGGTTTTGAAGAAGGAAACAATGACAGGAAGGTATGTAAACTAAAGAATTCTCTTTATGGTTTAAAACATTCACTAAAGGCTTGGTTTGATCGCTTTGCAAAGTTAGTAAGAAGACGTGGATTCAACCAAAGACAAATAGATCATACTTTTTTTCTCAAACACTTACAACATGAAAAAAGACTATTTTGATCATTTATGTTGATATTATATTGATAGGTGATGATACTAAAGAGATAGAGCAACTAAAGAAAATTCTTGAAAAAGAATTTGAGTTTAAGGATCTTGGACAATTAAAATACTTTTTAGGGATGAAAGTTGCGAGGAGTAGGGGTGAGTAAATGGTCGGTTCGATTAGTTTAGTTTGAAAAAATCAATAACCAACTTAACCGACTTTCATTTAACAAATAACCGAACCGACCGAATATTATTAAATAATCGACCATAACCGAACTGATTAAAATCGGTTCGATCGGTTCGGTTAAATAATCGATTTTTTTTATAATTTTTCTTCCTATTATTAATAATTATTTAACCACAAATTCAACTTAATAAAATTTAAACTTTAATATCATTCAAACTAAATTACTAAAAAATTTAATAATTTCAACAATATTTTACAAAAAAAAAATAAAAATATTTATCTCAATTTTTTTTATTTTTAATTATTAGAGTCGATTAATTCGGTTAATACGGTTATCAATTTTAAAAATTGAAAACCGACCAAATTAATCAATTTAACCGATTTAAAAAATCGATTATAACTAAAACCAAATAAATCAAACCGATTCAACCGAATTCGCTCGATTTCGGTCGATCTAGTCGGTTCAAACCGACTTTTGCTCACCCCTAGCGAGGAGCAAGAATGGTATTGTTATTTTTCAAAAGAAATATACAATTGATCTCTTGAAATAAACTGGTATGCTTGGTTGTAAACCAGTTGATACACCTATAGATCCTAATGTGAAGTTTGGAAAAAAAAAAAAGAAGGAATTCCAATAGATGGGGAGAGATACCAACGATTGGTTAGAAGGTTGATCTACTTGTGTCATATAAGACCTGATATAACCTTTGTAGTTATTTTAATGAGTCAATATATGCAATCTTCATTTAAGGAGCATCTTAAAGCTATGTATCAAATCTTAAAGTATTTAAAGAACATACAGGTAAAAGGTTGTTATTTAAGAAAAATGAATAAAAAAATGTGAAAGCATTTACAAATGCAAACTAGGCAAGATCAATTGAAGATAAAAGATCTACTTCTGGGCATTGTATGAAGATTTAAGGTAATGTTGTCACATTGAAGAGAGAGAAACAATCTGTTGTTGCTTGAAGCAATGTAGATGCAGAATTTAAAACCCTTGCACAAGGAATTTGTGTACCTATTTGGCTGAATAAACTTTTAAAAGAGTTGAAAATATCGACAAAATATCTTATAAAGTTGTATTGCGCTAATAAGACTGCTATAAGTATTGCTTATAATCCAGTGCATCATGATCAAATAAAACATATGAAAGTTAATAGACATTTTATCAAAGAGAATATTGATATGGGAGTCATCTGTATGGCTTATGTCCCTACAAAGCAACAAGTAGTAGACATTTTAACAAAGGAGCTACCTAAACCAAACTTTGAGATACTTGTTGACAAGCTGAAAATGATAAATATCTATTCTCTAACTTGAAGGGGAGTGCTGACAACAATCAAGATCTATTCTTGATTTGTTGACAACAATCAGGATTTATTTTCGGATTTGTTAGGATTTATTTTCCTGATCATTACTTATTTTTGTTTGTTTCTATATTTAGATGATTATGTCATTTTTATGGATTTTTCTGTACATGTTGGTTCCTATATATTTGAGAATTATCTCTCAATAAAAGTAAGAGAACATTGTTTCTTTATTTATGCTTACAAGGATGAATTCTAATATTATGATTAATATGACAATCACTGGTAAACCCATGCCTTAAATAATGGGGAGGATGCATCTATAGCCATTTCAAGTCCAAATGAATGTAATTAGGGTTGCAATTATCCCCACTTATGTCAAGATGTATTTAGCATAGTCCTTATGTCACATGACCATTGTCCTTTTCTTGTATAATCAATCTATTAGAATGCGCAAGGCCAATGCTTATATACCCAGTGATCTTTCCTTTCTTATCTGGCGGAGGAATGAAGCACTACGTCTACTCCTTTTGGAGCCATGATATTTACTTGGAGATCGAGCATGAAATGGGATGGGGATGATGTTTCCTTTTCATATTGACATAACAATTGTAGTGATCTAGGCATCGGGTGCAACTGCAGCCTTCAGCAACCTAAGCCATTTTTTTGACTAAGTAAATTCTTTGTTAGCCAAATTTTTGTCAGCCAAATTTATTGCTGTAGCTGAAGCAAGAAATTAATAGGTAGCAGGATTGATAGTGATAGCCGTTTTAATGGCCTATCTTTGGGTAGTTAGATCAGCTATAACATTTTCTCAAGTTGTTTCCATCTTGTTCAACCAAGAGTAAATTAAAATATTACGATCCAATACGATTAGGAGAACAGGAATCCCTTGTGGGTAGAAACTGAGAGTGGCTGTAGGAGGGGAATTTTGGTTTAAATTCAAACGAGTGTCTAGTTTGAAGTACATCCCAAACTACATTTTTGGCTCTATTTTGCGCCTAGCCTTTTACATAGACTTAGAGAAGAGGGAGATGTGAAATTTCATTCTCATAAAAGATTCTTAGAAGCTCTGAAATTTTTTTTCAGCATTTAATTCAACAGTTTGAACATGTATTCTCAGTTCCAAGAAGAGCGAGGATTGAATCTCCCTTTCGTCGCAAAATGGGAAAACACACCTATAACGTCATGGATGCGTACTAATTAAGAAGCTAGGGCCACAAAAACCTAGCGGGATGAATCCCCCGTGGTAAGACAAGGTCATTAATCTCCTTGCCCATATGCTATCATTAATACAACCATAGGACACCAATTACAATTTACAATCATTGGAGCAAATACAGGTTTCCTGATAGTCTCATTTGAATTAATTTCACCTTAATTTCATACCACTTTCTCATGGAATAAAGCCAAGAACACTCAAAGAAAGAGAAAGAGTCTTAATAATAAATTTAAAATTTAATTCAGTTGATTTATATAATCATTTTTAATAAAATATTTGGTATGAGGTAATTTATCTGAAAACCACAGTGATGTGCATTCAATAATTACATTGCTTTATTTTGTAGCAATTTAAAAATCTTACGTGACAATGATCTTAAATTATTAAGGTCATAAGATTACTACCTAAAGGGGTGATATGATTTTCAACCTAATGAATAAAAAAGTTTTATCATCATGAGATAGTAATTTTTAATATTATTTTTAGTCTAATTTACTTCGATAAAAGATGTACTTAACACTGTTTTAGAAAATTGATTAGAAAATTCAAAAGTTTATTTTTTAATAATTTATTTTATAAAAAAGTTTTTTATTATAATTGAACAAATATTTATTTATTATAAAAATAATGAAATTATTTAATAATTTTTTACAAATTATTTTTCATCAAAACTAATTTATATTTTATAGTTTTCTATAAAATAAAATTTAACTATTTTATATATTATCAATTCAATAAGTATTAATTTTTTATTTTTTTAAAGATATTTTGGATATTTTATATTTTATGATCTATTTTTTCATATAATACCAAATTCAGTGATTTAAAATCACTAATAATTTATAATATTATAACAAACATAATAATCTATAATAATCTAAAATCATTGGCAATCAAATTAGCTTGGTATTCTTATTACCATGATAATTAGATCATCACGGTGATCTTGAAAATATACCAAATACTACCTAAGAGGTAAAGTCCAATAAATCTAAATTTTAAATTCCAACATTTATAACATTTTTCTATGATCCCTTTTTGTAATAAAAATAAAAATAAAAAACTAATAATGGCCTTTTCTCAACTACCGAAAGTATGGATTTATGAAGGCAAAAGATTGCAGCACTCATGCATTTGGCTCAATAGTAGTTTGTTTGTATCTCTTTGCTCAAAGCTAAGCTCAAATCCCATCTTCAAATTTGGTGTTAGCTACGCTCAAATCCCATCTTCAAATTTTTTGTTTAAGTAGGGGCATATATGCGTGAATCGCGATAGGTACTAAGAGAGAGGCCAAACCTGCTAATGCATCGAGTAGAGTGGATTTTCCAGACCCAGATGGACCCATGATAGCCACGATCCTACCAGGTTCAGCACACCCATTTAGTCCATTAAGCAATCTCCTAGTAGGTCCATTACCAAAGTTTGGCAGCACCACCGTCAAATCTTCCCACACCAATAACATTTGCCCTTCATCTCTTCCTGATCTCGGCAAGCCTTCCTGATGAGGTTGTGCACCATTATCAACGCTGGCTCCACCACCTGCACCGCCATTCACCTTCTCTATCTCCACCTCAGCCATAAAATATTTGTTAAAAGGACATGTGCAAAGAAACAATGCTGCATATGTAGCGGGAGAAAGGAAAAAGCCAAGCAGCAACAATTCTATTCTTTTGTTCAATGATTGTCAGAAACAGATATTTGGCACTGGGAGCCAGGCTGTTTGGAAAGTAGCTTTGTCACCAAACCTCAATGAAGAAAAGAAGTAAGAGAGAGAGAGAGAGAGAGAGAAATTAGTGAATACAAAAAATAAATGGTCTGGTTCTCTGCTAGGTCGCTACCGTATGTTTGATCAGTAACAGTGAAGTGAATGGCATCAACTATGATCACCAAAACCTAACCCAATGTGCTTTCTTAAATAATAAATAGAGATGTGGCAAGGAAGATGAGATCAGTCAGAAGAGAATTAAATGTGTAGTAAATATTTAGGGTTTCAATTCAATTACATTTTTATTGCGGTGAATTGGAAACTATCATTGAGTTTAAATACTAATTTTAATAAAATTTATTTAATATAAATTTTTTATTTATAATTATAATAATTTTTTTAATTTTATTAAAATCAATCTTTTCATTCATTTAAATAAAATCTTATATGAGAAACCGACGCTGACATGATACGTTGATAAATTGCTGAACATACGTTACAAAATTCAATTTTTGATCATTTAAAAAAAAATCATTTTTAGAATGATTATCTTTCATTTTTAAGACGCTGCTCGTGCAAACTTAAAGGAATAATTGCATAGTAAATATCATAGAATATATTTTGGATTTTGCTGATAGTGGAGCAGTGTCTTTTGTTTCAAAAATAAAAAATATTTCAAAAATCAACAATTTACTTGTTAACTATTGTTTAGAATTAGGATAAATTGATTTTCCTCTCTTAGTTTAATCCCCGCACTAACCCCTTTTGAAACTAAAAAATAAATAAATAAATAAATTTGTCTTTTTATTATAATTTAATATTGAATTTTATGGTTATTACTTTCGATTTGTTGATTTTAAAAATAAAAAATTAAATATTTTGTGTTCATGTGCATTTAAATGATAAATTTTATCGCTTTACTTTTAATTTTGTTGAATGAAAAGTAATAAAATTAAAATAATTCATAGAATATTGTATGATACAAATGATAAATTTTCATAAATTTTATTATTTTATGTTAAAAATTAACTAAATTAGAAATGCAATGAAAAATTTTAACAAAATTAAAATCTAGAGACAAATTCAATATTAACCCATGTAAAATTTATTTTATTCTTCTATTGTTTTTAATGTTGAAATAATTTTGATTAAAAAAAAGTATTGTTAAGATAATATTTAAGAAAAAAATTTATAACTTTTTAAATTTGGTGAAAACAATTTAATCAATACATAATTTTTTTTTTACAATGATGTCTATATATATATATATACTTCCATTACCTGATAACCCTGTCATAACGTCTAGATCCGGGGATCTATCGCTAGACATTAATTTTAGAGAGTCGCCACCAATCTTTTTTATCTATGTGCGATTGGTCACCTAAAGAATCTGTCCTTTCAGGGAACACCTAAGTTTAAGGGTCCCTAAAAGAATAGGTTCAGGTCTACAAACCAAAACAGGGTTCGGGAGTTCGGTTACGTGTGAGGAAGGTTATAGTACCCTCACAATGCCCATCAAAAGATGGTACCAGCTTAAATTTGTGTTATCCAAAAGCCTTAAAATTTTATCAAGTAATTAATTATTAGAAATTTTTCTCAATTGACTCTAATACTTTTAGTAGAAAATTGAAAAAATTCTCTCACCTCAGGAGTGTACAAGAAAAACTACTGTTTCACTTGCAAAGTCTCCGTCGTCGAATTATTTAAAGAAAAAAACAAAATCAAAATTAAGATAGAAAGGAAGGAAAGAATGATTTTTTTTTCGTGTAGGTAAAATTGATACTTTCAACTTTTTTCCAAAAATATTTTTTGAAAATTTCGATTTTCAAGGAAAATTGATACTTTCAACTTTTTCTCAAAAATATTTTTTTTGAAATTTTGATTTTCAAGGAAAATTGATACTTTCAACTTTTCCTCAAAAACCCTTTTTTTGAAAATTTATTTCTAAGGAAAATTGATACTTTCAACTTTTCCCCAAAAATATTTTTTTTGAAAATTTATTTTTAAGGAAAATTGATACTTTCAACTTTTTCCCAAAAATATTTTTTTGAAAATTTATTTCTAAGGAAAATTGATACTTTCAACTTTTCCTCAAAAATCCTTTTTTTTGAAAATTTATTTTTAAGGAAAATTGATACTTTCAACTTTTCCCAAAAATATTTTTCTGAATTTATTTTAAGAAGACAAAAAAATAAAAAAAATAAAAAAATAAGAATAAAAATAAAAATAAAGATAAAGATAAAAATAGAATAAAATAAAAAAGTACTAAATAATTCTAGATATAGTCAATAGATAATAATAATAATAATAATAATAATAATAATAATAATAATAAATAAATAAATAAATAAAAATACCAAGACCCCTTCAAGAGCTTCCTTTCCTGAAACAGAGTCTGGCGGATCATCAACACAACCATGGGCCCACAATGGCTTAATAGAAATTTCTTGGGAGGAATGTCTGGTTCCTCAAAACTGATACTTGCAAGATAATCAAAAAGCTTATCTCTATCCACTCTGCACAGAAAGGGAGAGCGATAAAGCTTTATGCATCCTTCCAGAGTTAGGAGCCATTCCAAGATTAGACCATGCCGACTTAAAGTGGTGGGCAACAAATAGCCAGATGCTAGATCTTCTTTCTTTACCACCACAATAGGATAAGGTTCGCTTTTGAGAAAAGTGATCAGGTCTCAAGGTCCAAAGGGCAAATGCCGGATTCTGGGGTGAAGATTACATTGGCAGTACAGAGAGAAGAAATTCTGACCGTGATCTCTGTAGCAATATCCCGCAAAAGGGATAGAACTCCTGTACAAGATTGGCAGCCCATCTTTGATAACACTTGCAAAGCCATAAAGGAGTAGTAGGGCAAACCTGCATAGAAACAGCACAACTTGCTAACTCACGTTTCTGCCTAAATCCACCATTGCTCTCTAAACCCTTGTAAAAGTCAAATTCGAAGGAATCAAAAGGAACCAGTGCTGAACAATAGCTATATTCCTCTTCTGCCTGCCTCGTATATTTGGTTTGGGTTGGATCAGTTAGAAGTTTAGGAGGGAATTCCATTATCTGCAATTGATAATTTGTTGCACTCCTCGGTCTAGATGCATTGATGAAGGAACAGATGTCATCAACTGTATGGTGGAAATTGCAGTGGGCTATCATGCGAGTGCCATCAGCCAACATAAGCTGAATTGAGGTTGATGGTAAAGTTTCATCTACAACCAATCCAGGAGAAGGGTTAGGACCAGTGTTGAGAGGAGTGGAACTGATAGTTGGTTCAGGAGCTACCGAACTACTGTTGCTACCAAGAGTTCTTCCTACACCCTGAAATGCTACCTGTCACTTCTTCTCTGGTTCAGGGTATTTCTCGTCCCTCTTTATTAGATTGACATGAACAGCAGACCTTCTATCAGCAGGTTCAAGCTCTTTAGGACACTCAGACTTTTTATGCTCGCTAAGAAATGTGCATTTTCAGGGTCATCCAACCTCCTCAGAGGGCCATCATTTACAGTGAAACCATTAGTCCAGAAAATTATGTTGTGAATAACAGCCTCAGGTTGCTGGAATGTAAAAGGTACAGTTTCCCCTGAGAGTAATCTACCGGTTCCAGTAAAACTTGTTGAACTTGATAATGAATGAAGACGTTCGAGAGGCCTTTCTACAGCTTCTAGTTGCCTAGCTTGATTGAAAATCTCATCTACATCATTATTCTTTACAGGATCTTGAACAAGCATGCCACTTTTCTCGCCGCCGGTGTAATACTCCTGGGGCTATCGAAATCGTTGTCGAAATCGAGTCCAGACCGCCTGTTCAGATCTGAGAGCGTGCTTATGCCGCCGGTGCGACTGCTTAACGGCTTCGCAGGTTTCTTGTCACGTGAGGTTATGGGTTTTGTCTGATTCTGTTTTCTATGTTTTTTCCTATGATTCTCCCTAATCTCTGTACTCTTATTGCTTCTCCCTCACCTATTCGATTCTCCTTCTCTATTTTTTTTCTTTCCACCAGTATTCTTTTTCCTTCTGTTTTTTGTGTTGCGCAACTGATACGGCCTTGGCCTGCTGAGAGCTGTGGGCGTCGCGCCGTTGCTGAGTGTTAGCTATTGACTGCTTGGGTTCTATTATCGAATCTGGAATTGTGGTTCGGTGAAAAGTAGTTTTGGATACTGCTGGAAATGGTTATGAATGGGATAGTGGCTCTAGCAGCAATGGTGGGAGTTTGGCTTGAGTAGAAATGGTGGTGTAATATGAGGTCTGGTTTTCAATTTAGCAATGGCATCCCACAGGACTAAGGCTAGTGATGGCAATGATGGAGAAGGGTGACGTTGGGTTCAATTGCTGCTAGAGTCCAAGGGAATAGATGAATATTAGAGTCTTTTTATGACTTTTCCTTTTTTTTTTGTTCTCTCCTTTCCTTCTCCTATTCGGATTCCTCTCCCTCTCCTAATCAAATTCTTCTTCTATCTTTTATCCCTTTTTTTTCTTCCCGTCTCCTATTCGGATTCTTCTTCTCTCCTATTCCGATTTCTCCTCCATCTTTTTTTCGTTTTATAAAACCATGCTGTTTTTTTATAGAATTTCAGTTTTATTCCACTTAGTCCTCCAATGCTAAAAATTAGTCACCAATCATGCTTTCTGATCATCATCCAACTTAATCTCAATCTTTCTTTCTTTCTTTTTTTTTTTAAAAAATAATCAGATAATAAATAAAAAAGTGATAAATATGAAATAAAAAAAATTTAAAATAAAAACAAATAAAAATTTCTGTAACTGAACTTGAATTAATTTCAATTAACAAATAATTTTAGATAAAATGAGGTGTCTATGAACCCTTGATATCACATTAAGAGAATCGTTAACAAATTGTTTTTTTTTTCGGTGTTTAAGGTAAATATT